GACGTCGACGTCGCTGCCGCCGTTGAAGGTATAAAAGGTAGAAGACCGCCCAGTGCTCGCTCAAAATCCAATAAGAAACGCGCGTGCGCAGCCGCCGCCAGTGATTCCATGCTAAAGAGCTGAGCCCCGTTATAGTCTGTTGTGTCCGTGGTGTCCGTGGCAAATCGTTGCATTTAGTTTTTGCATATGCAATTTATTGCAATATAATTTATAGCAACTTGTTTTTCTCAAAGTCACAACGTGCGACGTCGCGTCGGCAGCACAAATTGCGCATTTTAAAAGTTAAAATAAATAAAAAATAAAAAAAAAAGCAACTGTCAAGAAAAAAAAAAAAACAAAAACAAAAAGAAAACCCCGAGTGCAGTTGACGATTTATGTGTTAATTTTTTGGACATTTCTTGAGGCTTCCTGCAAGGCGAATAAGCCCAGAACACAACTTTTGCATACCAAAAAGGCAAAAAGGCAAAAATCAGAGACAATGCACAACTTAAAGGTAAATGTTGACCGATTCGATCATACGCATGGGGCATACGTACTCCCATATTTGTTATAGATTCCACGCTCCACATGATTTTAGTTTTTTTTCTTCTTTTTTCTTTTTGTATATTATTTTGTGGCTCAACACTTTCACTTTTTGTGCCAGGATTAAGGTTACATTAGTGTCCATTTTATTGCCTTTGAACTGGTCTCCGATCTTTTAGCCATGACTCTGAGTGTGTGGCAGCTGTGGCCAGCTCTGGGGGCTGACTCAGCGTCTAACATGCAAAACTGGCAATGCAAGCTGGCTAAAATAAGCGAATGAGAGCGCATAGGTGGACCAACCACAAATTGTAAATCATTCATAAGTCAAAAGCAAAAACAAAACCATCAGAACACAAAGAACACCCAATTACTTAGCGTAATTCATTAGTAAATGTATTTAAATCTACCGACTACACTTTAAGCCAAAACAATAAAAACAGCTGCAAAGCAATAAATTATTTCTGAGATACATCTAAATTCTTGTATGTAATTAAATAAGTACTATGTTCTGGCCAGACAATCTTATGCTCTCCAGTGCTGATCTAACCTTATACTCTCCAGTTCTGATCCCTTGCAAGCCAAGTCTTTCAGGCAACTGAAAGACGAGCTTCGGAATTACAGGCCAGTAGCTGGATATGCTTAGTCTTAGCCAAGGCTCAAAGAAATTTGTGTCAAATTAAGATTAATACAAGTCCTAAACATTTGAGACCCTTAAGAAATAATCAATGACAATGACAAATTTCCCCTTTAAGTGTTTAAGTTAAATAAAAGACGGGATAAAAAACTAGAATATCGTAGTAGCTAACAAGCGCTTGTACAATTCTTTCTAAAGTCAACAGCAAAATAAACACAAGATTTAAATTTTCTTTGACCTACAGATTCGCCTTAAAATGCGACCTTTGCTTCATTTCCTGCTGTAGTAAATAGATGATCTAGCTTGTAAGTTTCCAGGAGTAGAATTTGTTTAATGCTCACTAGACCTTTAGGAGGGCCCCTAGGTTGGTCTGATCAAGGCCTCATCTAAAATAAAAGCAATTTGTTTACCAATAAGAAAGAACAACCTCAAATCAAACGAGTTGTACGAGGAATTTATCGAATCGTTTCATCATACCAATTTAAAGAAAAGTTCAATAAAAGAGACAGACTTCATTATAGATCAAAGATCAGCATAGCTTAGCAGCATTTCTACTTTGTGAAGTTTCTCAGTTTTCCCAATGCTCACTTTGGCACACCCACATCATAAAAAGCCGATAATCAGCTATTGGAGTCTAAGCTTTTGAGCCTAACACAGAGCCAGGGCCAAGAGCGTGTGATCTTCAAAGACGAACCGCAGCAACTTGTGCAGCAGCTAACGCTCACGTTGTTGTCTTTGTTGTAGTTGTGGTTGTTTGAAAACACGCTACAAAACTCTGACTTTTGGCACTTAGCATGGCCCAATTACGAGCATTGAAGTGCACTTACTTACTTCATCATGATGATCATGATCATTATGACGGCGATCAACATTATGATCAGCTCATGATCGGCACGAGCTGTGCAATTGTTGCTTTGCGCCGTCGTCTGTTGATTCAATTTCAAACAATTGGATTCCATTTCATAGCCGCATGAAAAGCCAAAAAGGAAAAGCGTTGAAAATTGGTCTCTGATCTTTCAATTGCTACGTTTTTTTTTTTTTGGAAAGCACCCATACATATACACAGTTACAATTCTTCTGCACAGATGCAGATAATGCACGGCAAGCAATCACGAGTCGCTGCGTGGGTGGAGAATGTGTTTTGTTGTCCATGGCCATAGCCAAAGGAAAGTCAAAGTGAAATGCTTGGAAAGCAAAGCCAATTACCAGCTTCAACTGCAAAAGTGGGGGAAGCCCAGCATAAATGTCTTTGGGTAATCTGAGCGCAGCCGGCGCGGTTTACAATTCAGAGTGTGGGGCGTGCAAATGCAAAGATCAAGATCAACGGAAACTCGGTCACAGATCATACTTCCAGTGTGGTGTGTGCTTGTGTATTCGTCACTTACAACTTCATGGGCTAGCGCATTTCCATGCCAAGTGGTCAACTCGTTTAACCGGACCTATGACAAAGCTGCCTAAGGAAAGGCTCAAAATTCCAATGCTCTAGCCCATGTCGATCGCTCGCTGGCCGTCCGGTTTGATCGGCTTCCATAGTAATCCAATTAAAGGAACAATCTACATTTCAATTCAAAACTAATGAACTGTAGTTAATTCACAACAATGGCTAACACACATGTCTATAGATTGTTGTTGTTGTTGTTTGAGCACGTTTTGAATGCAATACTTGCTTAGAGATCGAAGCGAATCGATCTCCCAATCGAAACTCTACTCTGGCATTTGAAAGTCATGTGCGCTGACGTCGAACTTGTGGTCTTCCATATAGCTTCGGCTTCCTTGTCCGTAGTTCCCAAACTTCCGTCAAAGTTTTTCGGCCAACACACCGCACAATTGTGGCCCAATGTAAACAATTTTTTGATTGATGATCGCCATGGCAATCAATTAAACAGCGTTAAATGGTCTTGGTGACAAATCATGGACTCGCTATTGATGCATATCTTAACCAAATCTCCTATTTCACTTATAGTCCAGTCTGCCGCTGCTGCTATTGCTTTTGGCCTTGTCGCTGTGCATAAGCTCCTGCCATGGTGGCCGACGTCTGCGCAAGAAGCCGAAGGTCTACAATGCACTCATCACCACGGACGACAATTTGACCTCGAGTCGCGCCTATCCGGTCATTCAACCCACCATACACGAGCCAGGCTATGCGCCATTTGGGCCCTATAACCCATTCGGCTTCTACAGTCCGCCGTTGGTAAGATTCGGACAGCCACTGGTGCCGGGTCTGCCGCCCAATGAGCGGGTGAGTTCCATGATAACTACTGGCCACAGCTATCAATAGTTATTAATGTTTACTCCACCCAGCTGCCGTACCCACTGCCCACAGCGCCGCAATATCCGCCCGTCTATACATCCTTTGATCCCAACCAGCCCAGCATTGTGCCGGCGGAACAGCCGCCACAACCGCAACCACAACCTGAGCTGGCGCCACAAACTCCAGCCCAGCCAGATGAGACAGAGCCCAAGGAGCTAAAGACCAAGGAGCAGCTGCCGCTGCCACTCAACGAACGGGGACTGCCGCCTGTTTTAATACCACTTTCATCTCAATTTAATGGACAACCCATGCATCTGCCGCCCTATCCATATCACCAGTATCCGCTGATCTATGACCAGGCGGGCTATGTGCAACAGCGCGAGAACTTTTTGCCGCCCTACGATTACTATCCCAGCCAGGGCTATCCAACGCGCCGTCCTCCAGCTGCTGCGCTGCCAATGCAAGCGGCTGAGCCGGAGGTGCAGCCCTTGCCACTGGATAGTCTCGATGCCACGCCCAGTTTTGATGATATCAAAAATGGTTCGGAGAACAAAAATAGCGATGTGCCCGATGTACCGCCGCCACCAATACCTTCCGGTCCAAAGCGCCCTAGACCAAAGGATAATTGAGGCGAGATTTTTGGCGCCGGCCCCTAACAAAATATACGCGTATTTATTACCATTTTCTTTAAGCATTTCGATTTGATGTATTTGTACGTTGTCGTTTAATAATATAATTAAATAAGCTTAGTAAGTGTTCATCAAAGATAATAAATAAATGAATAAAAAAAAAAAGTCCGCGGTGAATGAACTTGGACCATTGGGAAATGGCATAGCCGAGCTGTGGACTGCTTTCTCTGAGCTAGACCCCCGGGATTTTGATTATCTGAACAATGTGGGCCTATAAATGCAGCGCTAACAGCAGGCTATGGCACAGTTTGCAGCGAGAACCTTTGCAAAATGAAGCTGACGTTTCTCTTGCTTTTGTGCTGTTGCCTTTTCAGTTTGGGTAAGTCGACTATCTTCAATTTTATGATTAAGGGTATTTAAGAATCGTCTTCCCACTAGCCTATGGCACTGATATTGTCGCCACCAAGCCGCCATTTGTGCGCAGTCGTTATAGTCTACGATGGCGTAAGACAACCACTGCCATTCCAGAGACCACAACGGGTCGTGCCGTAGAGCTTGCTACCTCGACGGAGCATCCCAAGGTGGGCACCTCAACGGCCAGTCCCGATTATGACTACTATGGCAATGGCGAGGCTGAGAACATGGTGCATAAATAGCCTGCGTTATCCGGTTGACAATTGCAGCATATTTTTTTCATTTCAACAATATGTTATTATTTCCGAATAACAAAATAAATTATAAATATTCAAATTTAAATTCAAATTTCTTTTGTACTTCCAAGTAACTGTCACTGATAGAAGAGGAAGCAGTTAACAGTGCTCGTTAACTGATGTGAAAATGTTTGTGTTAAGCTAGATACGTAGCTTACAGGTTTTGCTTGGCAACACAAATTTTATCAAATATTTCAGTGACAGTGTGCCCATATTCCATTTAATTTACTTTTTTTTACCCATCAGCTGTAAGCGTTTAAAATTCTAGCGGTCACACTGCTATCAGCTGTGCTCTTTCGTTTCTAGCAAAATTGTAAATACTCAACCGGAGTCGTGAGCAGCGTACCTAACAGAATACAATTGGCAAACCAGTTATTTAGAATGTTATTAACAAATAAATGTGCGCACAATATGCGAGGTTTACAAACTCTTGCAAGCCTGCTTAATAAACGAAACAACTATTGCTGGTTAACGACTGCAGCAACAAAAAAATTAAGCGCGAGCCATTGGAGCGAAGGGGAGCGACGATTGTGTTGGTGAGTACAAGCTGCGATTTATGCCAAGATTTGAGAAGCTTTGATTGTGCGCAGCAGCAGCAGCAGCAACAGATATGAGAGTTCAGTTCTGTACACGACAGCAACGAGAGAAGCAGCAGCAGCGGCAGCAACTGGTGTTGGCTATTCGAGATTTTTCAGCAAACAACAACCAGTCACAGCAACCGCAAGTGCAAAAAAACCCAAAATGGTGGTAAGTGAATATCTGGTTCAATACAAACCAATTACCAAATACTGTAACAGCCCAATTCTAAAAAGCAATATCGGGGCTTTAACACGCTTATCGCTCGGGGCCACGCGAGGTCAGCAATTGGCCCCCAAGGGCAGCGAAAGCCGCAGCCACAGTCACACAATTTAACTAAATACTTGTTGCTTGAACAAATATACCCGTACACAGGCCAAGCTGACTGAACAAGAGCGCGCCGAGAAGCTGCAGCCACTGTTGGATGCAGGATGGTGCTTGGTTGAGGGACGCGATGCCATATACAAGGAATTTCTGTTTAAGGACTTCAATCAGGCTTTTAGCTTTATGACTGGTGTTGCTCTGCTGGCTGAGAAAATGAATCATCACCCTGAATGGTTCAACGTCTACAACAAATTACAGGTCACCCTGAGCACCCACGATGTTGGCGGCCTGAGCAGCCAGGATATACGCATGGCCACGTACCTGGAGACACAGGCTAAGCTTTTGCACTAAAACTTAAAACTAATTGATTAAATATATTCCGTTTGTATCGCATTTAAATAATTTGTTGTTAATAGGAAATCAAAAATTAGCCCAGCATGGACTTACTTAGTATCTGATAGTCCGCCTCTTGCAAAATATCTGGTGAGGTTTCATCCTTAGCATAGCCGAGCGCTTTGAAGAACTTTAATGAATTCTCATTATTATTTAAAACAGTGAGCATAAGCTTTTCCAGCTGCCAAATCTTGGCGCACGACTCAAGCGTTTCCATCATGAACTTGCCGAGACCCTTGCGCTGATATTCTGGTGCAATTTGTATTTCGTAGCTACAAATTAAGAGCGTCTATTAATTAAAAACGTGTTGCAAACTTCATATATTTACCAATATAACACACAGTCACCATCGTCCATGTCGAAGCGGAACATTGTGTAGGCCACGGGTTGCTTTTGTTGATTCTGGGCCACCAGGAAACGAGCCCAGTTCTTATTAAGCTCCGATTGTTTTATTTTTGGCTGCCAGCCCATTTTCAGATGTTTGTAAAATGGGCCCACATTCTGTTCAGCCAGCTTAAATGTCCATTTGAGAGTCTTGGCATCCATATCGGCCTTGGCGCGGCAATATAGTTTGAACTCCTCGCCAGAACTGGACTTGTAGCTATCGTAAATTCCTGGCAGTCTATCAAGTGGATTTTTTTCACGTGCCACTGCCTCTATTAATTTGTGCTTTGCAGCAGAGCTAAGTTCGTCCCGATTTGTCATTATTAAATATTAAACACAATTATTTTTGCTTTATATATTTATTCTAAGAGAGCGTGTGTTGCACTAAAAAGCGGGAAGGTAGTGTTGCATATCACTCAAAATGCAGCCCTGGAAATGGCAAACTATATCACACTGAAAATCTCTAAAAAAAAAAATAAAAAGTAAACAACGCAATCAGTTGGGTTATTTTCTATAATATTTCAGAATTAAAGGCTGCCAAAACAAAATAATATAAAAGTCGATTAAACAGAGGGATCTTACAGGTAAATACTGGTCAATAGAGAAATGTCTATTTTTGTACTGTGCAGCTATATCAATATTATGCTGACGTTATCATTCGCTTTTCAGCAGCCTAAACGAAACATACATATCTACTGTATAGAAACCTACACACAATGTTTAAAAAATCAAAGCCCAAAGTGGAACCACCACCCACAGCGCCAACACTAGACGAAATGCTTGCAGATATTGAAACATTCGAAATTTCCCAGCCTGCTGGCAACAACGTCAGTAGCAGCGCAGCTCTGGAACACGCACTGCTTACAGAACCCGAAAATTTGACTCTGGAAACATGGTGGCAAGTTTTTGACGAATATGATCACAAAGTGAAGAAACTAGCAGCAATGGAAGGTACACTGGATGCACAACGGGAAAAACTGTTAGCCTGTAAACTTAAGCTGGAAAAGAATGCCAAAAATCTGCGCGAGGGTATACAGAAGCAACAGACATTAATAAAGGAGGTGGTTGATTGTTGACATGAACAAGTGCTCGATAGTTTTAATTCACACAAATAGCAGTTTCATATATCGATAACCGATCCCATTACAATTGTTGACACACACATACGCAACTCATGTTATCGAGTATGTTGGTAGACAGCGCTCAGAAAGTATCGATACTTGTTACCTGCAGCCGTTTTTTATGTGGGGAGAAATAAAATAAATGTTTTTAAATTATTTGCAATAAAATGCAAGTGTTTGTTTAAATAAGAAGTGAGTGTCTTTAATAGAAAATACCATCGTACTAAGATGCGGATAATATAAGATACCAACATTTATTTTGGGCTGATGAATAAGCCAGGGAACAGGTTTAGGCCAGAAAAACTTGGCTGGCTTACCATTTACGCCACAGCGTTAATGGCAATACAACAGCGAGCGGAGGTCGATTGTTTTGCGTGTGTGTGCTTGTGTTTGTATATGTGTTTGCTTGTGTAGTTGTTTTAATATTTTGCCTATGAGTTAGCCAAATCCAATTACCAAAACGAAAAAGTGCAACAATTGTGTGCAAAAAAAAATAACCCCCTGCTTTGGCTTATTAAACTTAACGCTATGTATTTTATTTCGGGCACTAGCAACAACAGTAAGAAAATATTTACACACTCTCAGCTAATAAAATGCGCACAGCAAAGGATTATTTTCCAATTAAACGGTTGTGAATAGCGCAAAGGAATGCGATTCATTAAATAACCCAGTAGAAATGCGTCCGAAAAAAAAAACAAGCAAATAACAGTAATTTTCACGGGCACACACAAAACAGGCGCAACGTACATGTATGTATGTGATGTTTATGTTTGTATGCGTATGTGTGTGTGTGTGTGTGTGTGTGTGCGAACAAAGTGCTAATGAGATGCTGATGCTCTGCTTCCTCTTGCCAGCAGTTTGTTGCTTTTGCCATTTATGCAAAATATATAAACGTAAATTTTGAACAAAAGATGTACATACAAATTTTATTGTTTTGATCTGTTGCGAATTTCGCCAGCTAACGAACTCGCTGCAAAAGGTGAAAGCAAGATTTTTTTTTATTATTTTATTATTTGCTCAAGTTGATGCTGTGTAATATTGTGTTTGTATGAGGTCGTATTTATAAAAGTGCACTCTCTTTGTGAGCTGTTGAGGCTACCGTTATTGCAATAAGTCTCGATATTCTTTGCAGCTACGCGTGAGATGTCACATGCTATTTGTGTTGCGACTGTAACGGATTTTCCCACTTTGGCAATTCTTATTGGCAAACCAACAACTGCTGCAATAATGTAAGAAACGGGGTACTAACAAAGGTCAATCGAAGCCAGCAAACGCAGCCTAGAACTAGTTAGGTTTCCACACACAGACATACTAACACACATCTACACACACAGTTACAGCAAGCATGGGCTGGCTGCTGGCGCTCCTGGCGTTGCTCTTGGCCATCAGCGAGCTGCTAGCAATCCCAACACCACTCAAGCTACCAGGTAAGCTCCAAATTAGACTTTCTCCAGTTTCTGTTTACCTAATCTCCCCTTTGTGCTTAGGCTACACACACAAACTGACGCCATACATTAAGCACTGGGAGGCGGCGAACTTTGATCGCGCCGTGCTGCAGGCCGCGCAGCTACGCCACTTGGAACAGGCACGCGCACGTCGAAAACGGCAAGTTGAGCCCTCAAGTGGCTCACCTGTGGGACTAGCGCACACAATACGCCTGAATTTCTCTGCACATGACAGGTGCGTGCGTGGGCTGCAAGTCGAGTTCAACTGCAACACAACTTTTTACACTCACCAAATTTTGCTTACAGAGACTTTCTGCTGGTGCTGCGTCAGCAGCCAAATTCGGTGTTTGCGCATGACGTGGAAATCGAGAATACACTGGGACCCATCGATTACGATGTCTCACGCATTTACACAGGCAGCCTGGAGGACGATGAGGCTGCCCATGTGCAGGCGATACTCACAAGTGATAATCTGCTGGATGGCACCATTGAGACGCAAGCGGAGCACTATTATATAGAGCCAGCGCAGCGTTATTCACAGCAGCTCGCGGAGAGTGGCGTGCACAGCATAGTCTATAAGTTAAGCGATGTAAATATGCAGCACCAAAACTCATTTGCCACCGGCCTGTCCTCGCAGGCGCCCCTAAAGACACATTGCGCTAGTGAACGACTGAGACGCAAGCGCTGGCTGCCTGAGGAGGAGGTAAGTAGGCACTTCTAACAAGGATATATGATTTTTTCATTTTTTTTTTTTTTTGCAAACCTCAGCACGTCACAGTTCCAACTTATAACCGCAATCCGCCGCTGCCGCTGGATCTGGAGGTGCCCTACAATGATGACTTTCGTGTACTAGCCTCTGAGGAGGATCGCAGCGAGGAGGAAACTAGAAAAACCATAACAACAACAACCATGCGCAGTACAGAAAGTTTTCTGGCCACGCTGACCAAACCCACTCCCAATCGAAACATACTTGTAAATAACTATAATCCCTCCAATGTTGGCGACACCAGTCGAAGCTACAACAGCAATACCAACAGCAATAACAATAACAACGTGCGCAAACTGTACACAAAACATAAAAACATCATCGTTAGCACCTATAATCGGCCCATAGAGCCGGAGTTCGGTACACCCTATGAGGAGCCGAATGCCAATAATAGCAACAATCTGCCAAATAACTTTTTCAATGCCAATTGGACAACGCTCTCAATGAATAACAACGATCGACCGAGCCACAAGACCCACGTGGAGATCATTACCAAGAACGGCGCGACCAAGAAACCTAACATCATTGTGAATAACTACAATCCGGAGATAATTTTTGCACCCAATCCACATAACCCCAGTTTCAATAGCATGTTAATGACGAATCTTTTAAGTGGACGAGGCGATGACATCCACAACTCCCCACGCCTGCTGTACGATCGCAAGACCACATGCATGCTTTATTTGCAGGCAGATCACACGTTCTTCCAAAAGATGGGCAGCGATGAGGCATCTATTGAGGCCATCACGCGCCACGTGCAACGGGCTAATTCCATTTACCGTAATACGGATTTCAATAACGATGGAAAACCCGACAATATTACGTTTATGATCAAGCGCATTAAGGTGCACAATATGAATGCTATGAAGGATCCTAGCTATAGGTTTCCTGGCAACTATGGTGTGGAAAAATTCTTGGAATTATTTTCAGGTAAGCGTAGAGAAATCAACTTAGTTTCTTAAGAATCTCTAACTAAAATATTGTTTCATCCTTGCTCCACAGAGGAGGATTATGATGCCTTCTGTCTGGCCTACATGTTCACCTATCGCGACTTTGAGATGGGCACACTAGGTCTGGCTTGGACAGGTGATCTAAAGAATGCGGGTGGCGTTTGCGAAAAGAACGGACACTATCGTGGCTCCCTCAAGTCCTTAAACACAGGCATTGTCACGCTTCTGAATTATGGCAAACATGTGCCGCCCGCCGTTTCACATGTAACTCTGGCCCACGAGATTGGACACAATTTTGGCTCGCCGGTAAACAAATCTGAAATCTATCCATTAACATATGTAACCAGCTAATTCGCTTAATTCCCCAACGCCAGCACGATCCGGAGCAGTGCACGCCAGGCGGCGAGGATGGTAATTTTATAATGTTCGCCCGCGCCACTTCGGGCGATAAGAAGAATAACAATAAATTCAGCGCTTGCTCCCTGAAGTCGATTGAGCCCGTGCTGAATGCCAAGGCGCGTTCCATGAAGGGCTGCTTCACAGAACCACAGTCATCCATTTGCGGCAACGGCGTCGTTGAGCCCGGCGAGCAATGCGACTGTGGCTGGGAGGAGGATTGCAAGGACTCGTGCTGTTTTCCCATGTCCCGGCAACCGCATCTAGATGAAACGCCCTGTACACTGACGCCGCATGCGCGTTGTAGTCCATCTCAAGGACCCTGCTGCACCACCGATTGCAAGGTGAAATTTGGCGATAAGTGTCGCGATGATAATGGCTGCCGGGATCCCTCTTTCTGCGATGGTCGCGTGCCCCAGTGCCCCCCTTCGGTGAACAAACCCAACAAGACCATTTGCAATAAGGAGTTTGTGTGCTATATGGGCGACTGCACGGGAAGCATTTGTTTGGCCTACGGGCTGGAGTCGTGCCAATGCATACCTGGTCCGCAGGATGATCGCATCAAGTCCTGCGAGCTTTGCTGCAAACTGCCTGGAGAGGATAATCCTTGCCGCAGTTCATTTGAGTGGAACGAGGCGCCGTTCGATGTGCCCGACATGTACTCCAAGCCGGGCACACCCTGCAATGACTACAATGGGTACTTATGGCATTTAACCAATTTAAAAGTTGTCTAAAATTATATCATCTTACAGCTACTGCGATGTCTTTCAAAAATGTCGCGAGGTGGATCCGTCTGGTCCATTGGCCACATTACGCAAGTTGTTGCTATCTGAGGAGAGCATTGCCACCTTCAAGAAATGGGTGCAGCATCATTGGTACACGGTGGCTCTGGCCGCCGTTGGCGTATTTTTGTTGCTGGTATGTGAAGGGAACATGAAACTAGTTTTATCTAAAAGCCAGTTTTTACCATCTAAAATTTTAATTTGTTCAAATTCCTCATCGTTAGATGGTAAAAATTGTTGTTTTTGGACTCTCAAACTTATTATAATGATACCCTTGCAGGGGTTTTTAAAATAGGGAAGCAGGTTATAAACTGTCTTAATGAAACTGGTTCGAACCATAACATAGGAATCATCAATATTCAATTCATTTCAATTTATAGTTTCATATCGTAATTTTTTACATATCTGCAAGGGTATTTAATCTTTGGAACTCCAAAGTTAATTGTTATTTATTGTTGTAATCAAATGTTGTTTGACAAGTTAATGCGTGTGGTCACAAGTATGCTGAGGGATCAGTATGAGGCCAAGGCGCAGGCCGTGGGCGAGGGTGAGCCCAGTAACTAACCCGAAATTGTTCCCAGTAAGCTCAGACCATTGGCCATTGTTTGAAAAAGCTAATTTAAAGCACATTTAGGCTTGAATTCATGCATTTATGTCCAAATGTCCACCAGATCTTAGCTTCCACATTTCTAATAATTTCCTTTGTTCTATCTGTAGATCCTGAGCACAAAGCTACTGGCGAAACGCTCGAATCTGAAGCTTAAGTCTGTGACCATCATACACAGTGCCACCACTGAAACGGTGCGTCTGCCGGAGAACAACAATGGCGTTATTGTGCACACGGCTGTGCGGACCAAGGTGCCGTTCAAGAAAAAGGTCCGGGGCGAGCGCAGTAAAAAGTCTGGAGCCGGCTTGGCTATAGGAGCGGCAACAGCAGCAGGAATACGCAGCAGTGTCGTAACCAAAGGCGGCGGCAATGTGGAGCCAAAGAAAGCAAGCCGAATGCAAGCGTTGACTAAAAAGAAGCTGAAAGCAAATGCTACTGAGGAGGAGCCGACCAAGAAGTCCAAAAAGATGGGCAAGCACATGAAGGAAATCATTGACTATTCGCACCGCAACAACAATGTAGGCGCCGGCGATGATGCCTCAAATCTATCAACAAGCAACAATCACAGTAATACCTTTGGTAAGGTGCAAAAGTGGCTGTTGGAATCACCTATTGTGGCACAGCCGCTGTCGCACATGGAGCATAGCTCACGTGTTCGCAAGGTGATGAGCAAGTCGCAATCAACACCCGAACGACTGGTGCAGAAAACGCCTCAAAAAACTAAGTCCATGGGCAATCTATCAAATGAGAAAGTCAAGCTTCAGGTCGTCTACAAGCCACCCTTCAAGTTCTCGCTGCGACTGTCCAAGAAGCCCAAGGTGAAGACGCACGTGGTGGGCGTAAGCGCTGGCGCGCGTCCAAAGCGTGCACAGAAGGCCAACAACAACAACAACAATCGCTCCAATGGACAGGCGGCCACGACATCCAAGGGCCCGTATACAGAGCGGACCAAACGCACCGCCTTGCTGCTGTGCAACGAAGCGGAGGACGATAATCAAATACTGACGCTCAACGAGCCAAACTATGAGACTCTAAAGCTGCCCACGCGCAGCTCTGAGCACTGCTATGAGAATGTAGAGCTGCCAGGCGGCAGTGCAAGCGCTGAAGCCGGAGTCACATCCACAACCAAACCAGGTAGCAACAGCAGCAGTAGCGGCAATAGCAAATTAGCACCCAACTCCAATCGCGGCAGCTTGGAGCCTGCACCTGTCGCTCCAACGCAGCGCAGCTCTTATCGCCGCTCCAACTCGCTGTCCGCACATAATCCGTTTGCGGTGGCGCCGCGTCGTAGTAGCAGCAGCAGCAAAGCGGGCAAGCATGAGGCGCAGCCCGCCGGCGGCTCTATAAATCTAACGCGTAACTTTGGCAGCACTCAAAATCTGATCAATCTCAGTCAGAATATGGCCAAGTCCAAGAAACGCAGCAGTCTTAATCTGAAAGCAAGTGCAGCCAAAAACGGCAAAGATCCGCCTACAGCAACAGCTACAGTAGTAACAGCGGCAGCACCATCCCAACGTCGCTCCTCTTCCAATGCGAATCTGCGCAGAAATAGCAGCACCTCCAATGCGACGTCGCAGATAGCGCCGGTGCCGCCAACACGGAACACGCGTAACAGCTTCAGCAATATTCCACGAGCCAGCCTTAATGGCCAGAGTAGCGCCTCCGCAGCTGCAGGGGCGACGGCGACGTCAACGACGGCGCCCAGCTTCTCGCGACAGTCCTCTACCAGCACAACGACAACGACGTCCAGTGGTGGATCACCGCCACTGCCGCTGCCCCTGCAGCAGTCTGCCTCCACAAGCGCCATGGTCAGCCAGCGGCAAGTGACGCAGCCGGTGCGACGCAGTCTTCACAATTTCCGAGCACGCGCCTCCAATGGGACAGCTGTAACAGCTGCACCAACAACAGCAACGCTGGACAACGAGCTGCCATCGGATCTAGAGGTGGTTGTCTCCGACATTGAGAATCTGGTTAGCTAAGAGCAGCACTGTTCGTATACATTTCAAAGCAACCAAGTGAAAGTGATAAGTCCTAAAGTTAGTTATACAAATTGTCGCATAGGTTTACATGCATATATATATATCAACTTAGATTTGTATATATATATATATATATACATACATACATATATGTACTTTACACTGCCTTAAACTTGCCGTTTCTGCTGAATATGTGAATGCCACGCCCGCACACAACGAAACACCCCACACCCGAAACGACCACAAAAACCACATTATTGAAAAGAAAGTATAATTATCTTCGGATTGCCGAAGCTCAAACACCCTTGCAGGCATATGAGAGAGTGCAATACTTATATATTTCTAAGCATAGCCACACGGCAGTTAGGGTCGTCTTAAAATCTGTCTCATTGGATACCTATAGGTTTTCTTAATATGAGCATAGTAAAGGTTGTAATTGCCAAGATTGGTATGTATATACTACAATAAAACAATACGACCGATGCTTACTATAGACCTATATAGTAGTCCTATATAGTTCAAGCTTAGATAGCTCCTATGACGCCTCTATTATACAGTTGTCCGATTTGGCACGTGGCAAAAAGATGTATCCAAATTTTCCCAAGATAGCTTTTAAATTAAGAGAAAAGTTTGTATAGAAACAGACAGGAAGGCTTAATGAAGCTCTTTGCTGATACTGATCAGGAATATATACATATTTAATACAGTCTTCTATAGATTACACATTTCGTGACAAAATATTATGGTCCCTTCTGCAAGGGTGTTTTTCAAATCGCTAACAACGCTAGTGCTTACGGCTCCACTCCCACATACATATTCACTCACCCACAACTCGACCCCATAAAATGCTCACCCACCCAACACACCCAACACCACCGCCACCGCCGAAGCCCGATGCACTCACCGCACATTGTACCTTTTACATACTAATTAACTGTATTTACTGTTGTATTGTATTCGTGATCTATAAACTATAACTTGTAACTGTACTGTTTTGTCTATACCTATGTGAATTGTGTTAAGTTGTCGAACTACGATCGTGTTATATGTGACTTCCATTTTAAAAACTGTCTTAAGTTTGAAGAATACAAGATCAGCTTAAGCAAAAACTATTTTTGTAATGAAAGAAAAGTAAATACAATAGACCGATCAATAGCTAGTCTATCTATCACATCTATCACATGCCAACGAAATTCGATCGCTGTTATTGTATAGATTCCTACATAGTATTATGTTATATGTACAACTGATATCTTATTTTTATCATATTCTTAACGCTTCAAAACAACGACCACTGTCATCTATAAACTTCGACACACAGAACAACAATACAAGGTGCTATTTTAGTAAGGATTGTAAACAAAAAAAAAAAAAAACACACAAAAAGTGAAAAACTAACCTACAAAATTTTTAAAATACTCTTATAAATATTTTCCAAGAAGATCAAAAATGATTATAAGATTTGTAGTTGAGATAACAGTGTAGCCAAGTGGGGTTAGCCAGGGGAAGTTGCAAATAATATACACACATACAATTATATTAGTAACAAATATAACCAACGATAACTGTCAATAAATCAAAAGTAAAATGCATCGAAACGTAACATAGGATAAAATAGTCGCAACAGAATCAAACAAAGATCTTTAAGCAGTTTAGAAAACCCGCTCCACACTCCCGCAGTCACACCCAAACACACACACACACACACACAAACGCCTGCGCCATTCTTAGTAGAGTAGTGTATATAAGAAATCAAGTCGAAAGATAAATAGTTTTTATATGCAACAATAACAAATTAGAGAGCAATGAAGAACAAACACCTAAACGATATTCATACTATAGTCACGTAGCGTATCAGATCACAAAATAAAGCAAACGGCTTGCAAAAATTAAAGAAAATCCCCATTCCGCTAATAACTAGAGATCTTTAGTATAAGCTAATTGGATTAATCCCTAGTTATATAGTAGCATATATGTATGTAAGCAATGTGTTGGAAAATTGGCATATTTTGAATTGTGCATAGTTCTTATTTGTGAATTTGCATTTGTATGGCTGGGTACAATACTTAAAGACGGGGCGGGCCGTGCAATGAGCACTTGGGTATATTTTTATTAAATATACAACGCATATATAGATAGACATAAGCACAGCTCAAATGATCGACCCAAAAAAAGAGAGTTAACGTAAACGCGTAGGCATGTTATTAAGCAGAAAAGTAAAACGAAAAACAAGAACAAAAAAAGTACGCGACAATCGCTTTGAAATGCTTATTAAACACAACTAAAATGAATGAAAAATCGAAATTTAGTTTTAAGTTTGTCTTAAAAATAAAAAAACAAAAAGCTTGAGCGAATACCTATTGATAACTATTTAAATATGAAACTATACAAGGCGCAGATTCTTTTTTTTTTTTTATCAAAGTATCGGCAATATCATAAATTTTACCAAAAAAAAAAATATATAAAAAAAAAAACAAGAAAAAATGGCCAATGTTTATGTACTGTACATAATAACAAATGCAAAGAATTATTATCTAAGCTGAAAGTATTTTGAGCGTGAAAGAAAAAAGACTATTTAGCGCGAAAGGAACCATTTTTGTGTATTGTACATAAGAAATTTATTGATTTTAAACTATATATAATAATTTAGTCGTAAAACTGCAAAACGATTTTGAAATCTGTGTGTGTACCTCAATTGTAATTATTTTTGTTCGTGTATTTTACTTTGATAAGATATTGCACGCTCTAAACTGATTTGATAACCGACTATTTTTTTATAATTTAGCTAAATGAAATATTTCCAACCCCTCGCAGAGAACCGTACCCCGTAGTTAAATAAAGAAAGTTTTAAATGTTGTCAAAGAACGTATCAAGTATGAAAAGTATTTCTGTCGTCAATTAATAACTCGTAAATCGAAAGCCGAAAAGCAAAAACAGGCATAATTTAAGTACAATAATTCATAAATATTTTTTAAGTTGCAAACAGAGAGAGAGAGAGAGAGAGAGAGCGATTGTGTGACTCTTATGTTGTACTTAACATTAATGGTATGAATACAGTAATTATTTAATTTATTTTAAAACATTATCATTACCAAGATTATGCGAAATGTAACTAACTTTTTAACACTGCACACGCATTGCAATATTTTTATAATTTCCTCATTTTAAGCAAAATTTAAATAACAATAAAAAAAAAAAACAAAACTAAAACTTACACGAAAGCAACATATTTGTTCAATTGGCTTTTTTCTCCGCCTTTTCCAATTTTAAGGCACGTTTAGCCATGATCCAAAAATAGACGGATGGTAAGAAATGACGCAAATAGTAGGCGATCTTTGCCTGAAGATCGCTGACAATAATGTCGGGTTCCTTACGCATGATGCATTGTAAAATGAGCTCGGCCAACTTATCGGGCGACATGCCCTTGGCCGTAGTTTCATCCATTTCTGGTGAAAGAAAAGAAACACATGACTAGCTGATAATTGCATGTGAATAATATTTTTACTGACTGCCGTAGCTGCTGCCTGCTCCAGTCAAGGCGTTCATCGAGAGCTGTGTGCGTATGTAGCCAGGACTGACGCAGGAGACATACATCTTTTTATTGGCCACCTCAGCACGGAGAGAATCGGCGAACGCCTGCAGTGCATGCTTAGAGGCCGAATAGGCTGCACGTTGGGGTATCGCAAACTTTCCTTGCACAGAGCTAATGAAGCATATATGACCACTTTGACGTTTTACCATTGACGGCAAAAGCGCTGAGTGGATACAGATAACAGTTAGGTCATAAACTACATCGCAAATTGTGCATTGAGCAAACCTTTTGTCAACGCCACAGTTCCAAAGTAATTAACAAGCATGACCTTAAGATCGACATCGACAGATGTTGAGGCAACATCGGCACGCACGCTGATGCCCCCATTGTTAATCAGGATATCAACTTGGTTGTACACCGCCAAGGCGCGACTAACGAAATCTGGTATAGAGTTTAGTTCGGCCAGATCCAAGGGCAGAACAGTGGGCGGATATGCGGGATCCTGAAAGCAGCTATATATAATAAACAACGTTTTTATGGAGAACGTGTGTACTCTTACCACGTCTAACGCCAGTAGATCCGACTTTACGCGTTCCAGCTCCTGGACTCGACGAGCAGCCAAGATTACCTTACAGCCTGCTCTATAGAAGACATGTGCAAGGGACTCGCCCAGGCCAGAGCTGGCGCCCGTTATCAGAACAACCTAGAGGGTATAACCAAGTTATAATAAAGCAGTTCATAAATTTACTTAGGCTTTTTTAACCTTGCCGGGCAGCTGGTTGCGGTATTTCTGGGCGCGAAAACGTTGCCACAAGTTGATTATGGCCAGAGGCAATGCTATTGGCATTAAAATGCTACCAAGCACCCAGTAAAGTACATTCCAATCACTGCTGGGTGCGCATTTTTCTACTTCATGTAACTTCATAATAAACTCCTTCTTGCAGCACGAAGAACTTTGCACTATTGCAAACAGAAAATACAAAACAAATGCCATTCACATTTGCGGCTTGTATTGTTGTTGTAACAGCCATGCACAGCTCATATTCGTAAAATGCCATTCACACTGGAAGCTGGTTATTTCTTGTGAAGAGCATTTCGCGTGTTACCGTAACAATGTGAGTGTCAGAATGCACAGCTGATATTTGTTACGTTGAGTTTTTTGGTGGCCCGCCTCCAAATAATAATTGTTATTTTATTCTAAAAAAAAATATGTTAAAATGCAAAGCCTGTTAAGACAAAGTCATCGTCTAAGTTGCTGCCTACCGTCAGCACAAATTCACACCACAGCCGTGCATCGCACTTTTTGGGAGCGAGAAAAGAAATCAGGCTACAAAACAAAACTGCCGGAGCCCTCGAAAAAGCAGCTCATAATAGATGGATTACGAGATTTAAAAAAAGAGATCAAACTGTGGCGCCAGGAAGTTAAGGAACAGCTGGAAAGCGATCCCATACTGGTATTCCGACCCGGTGAAACGGACATTGTATTCGATTTCAAAGCGCCGGACGTACTCGATAAGTGGACGGTGACAACAGATGCAGATCATGGAGAGGGCAGAAGCAGCGCCACATTAGAGTTAAGCGCAGCGGGCGCGGGACTTTTTCACGGCGAGGTAAACTCGCAACACACCAAGGATGGCATTATCAAACGCACCGGCTATGCAAATATACGCACTAAGCGTGTACGGGTTAGTAATGCATAACAAAGCACAAGATTCGATTTTAATTATATATCTTTTGCATACCAGAAATCATTCAAGCGCGAAGCCACCTACGACTGGACGCAGTACAACATGCTGGTAATGAAGGTGCGAGGCGACGGACGCAGCTATCTTATTAATTTGCACACAGAGGGCTATTTTGATCTGATGTGGAACGATATCTATCACTATGTGCTTTATACACGCGGCGGACCGCACTGGCAAATAGCCAAAATACCCTTCTCAAAGTTCTTTCTATCATCAAAGGGTCGCGTACAGGATCGTCAGAGTGCCATACAGTTAAATTGTGTAACGCATTTTGGGTTCTCTGTGGCAGCCAAAAAGGGCATGGATGGGCCTTTCGGCTTGGAAATCGATTATGTAGGATTAGAGTATGATCCCAGCCATCGTGAAGAATTTGCCTACGAAATGTACAAAACACCCAAGTATATTGTAGCTACATAAAGAACAAATGTTCGTTAGTTGTAGAGTAGCAATACGAGCGATTTCAAAATAAATGCACGTTTGTTTTAACTGTTAGTTCTCTCTCTCTCTCGCTCGTTTTTGGTCTGCTCTCTTGAATCAGCTGTTCAAATGTTTACCATTGCTCAGCGCTCAGGGTCAGTGGTTTTTGTTGTCTGTTGAAATATACAACTGGTACTGCAATTCGCAATACGCTTTTACATTTCGAAATGCTATGCTATTGCATTACAGCCAATTAGAGCCGCGCGAGCAGCAGTGCTCGCAGTTTTCTTTCGCTCTGCTTCGCTCTTTTTAAATGCCGCCTCAGTCTCACTCTAACTCTTGTTCCTAATAGTTGTTGATAAAAACAGCGGAAAAAACTTCCGCATTGCGTGGGAGCTGTTCTAGTTTTTACCATTTATCATAAGTAAATATTTGATAAAAAAAAATGGTGAGTATTTTTAGCATTTGTGAGAAACTGCCAGTAAGAAGAAGCGTGAAGCCAGCAACAGCCGACAATGTGACCGTGTAGCGGACATTCACTCACCAGGCCAGCCCGGTGGGTGCGACCTTGAAAGGGGTTTGCTAATATAATCCTGTTCGTAGCAAAACAACAAATACAATCCCAAATCAATAACAACTTAGAACGGGTGTGCACAGGGTGCCGCACTTTAAAAACGCTTACAGACATTGTTATAACAGATGTGCCGATATAGCAGTCCGACATTAAGATTTTGCTCGTATTTTAGAGGTAGAGAAAAAGTTGTAAATGTCAAGTTCCATAAAGTTAAACTGAACTTTTTACATATGATTCCCATTGGAAGCTATAAATATTACATATAATGCAAAATACAAATATAGCTCCCACTGCAAATTTTGTCCCCCTTCTTGGCGCATTACATGCTATAGAGAATATACCCTGTACACGTGTATTTAAAAGACTACGCATTTTACCGGTTTGCGGTGACGTTTAGAAAACATGTTACCAAAGCATACAAAAAAACCAGTCCAGCAGCCAACGAAAGCGATAGCGCTGCATGAAACCAGTTACCATTCCTGTTAGCGATTTCAGTTGGTCGAACGCTTAGCTGTTGTCTGTGCTCTGACTGCGCCGCATTCTGGCTGTCAACCTTATCAACTGCTGACGTTGGCCTTTTTCGTAGACTTCGAAAATGGTGCAATATACGGTAGAAAATAATCAAATGCAATTAAATCCAACATGCTAGTTAATGCTCTCCTATTAACGTACTGATTGCAGCAGGAAACGTATCTCTACGATCCGAGCGTGTTGCTCAAGCTCGACTTTCATCGCAGCCCAGCCAAATTTCAGCCCTTCATCTCTGCTGCCAATCCAGGTGAAACGTGGCTGCAGGTGCGTCCGCTGAAGGATACGGACTATGATCGCGGATTTCTGCAGCTGCTGTCACAGCTTACGCATGTGGGCAATGTAACACGCACACAATTTCTGAGTATGCATCAATCCGTATAGATAGTGTATAGATGCTTATGATTCTCTCAATTTGCAGCACGCTTCTCGCAGATGAAGGCCAGCGGCGATTACTATGTGACAGTCATTGAGGATACGCGCAAGGGCGAGATTATTGGTGCTGCCTCGCTCATCATTGAGCGCAAGTTTATACACAATTGCTCAGTGGTAGGTTAAGGATTAATATACGTTGTCCATTAGATCAACAACTCATATCACTCATGCTTGCAGCGCGGTCGCCTAGAGGATGTGGTGGTCAATGACACCTATCGCGGCAAGCAGCTGGGCAAGCTGTAAGTTGGCCAGCACTACAAAAATATTTGTCCTTAATCTATTTGATATTTCACAACAGAATTGTGGTCACCGTGTCGCTGCTGGCCGAGCAACTGGGCTGCTATAAAATGTCGCTCGACTGCAAGGATAAACTTATCAAGTTCTATGAAACGTTGGGCTATGTGCTTGTACCCGGCAACTCCAATTCCATGACCATACGCTACGATGAGGATGCGTCGGCGTTGAAACGTAACACCACCTCCACGGCTGTCACTGGCGATGCCTGCCAAACAGTGAGCCTAGATTTTGCCTCTTGACAATTAGCCGCCAACGCTGCTCCAAAATCCAAGCTTTAGATCATCCAATCTATCTAAAGCAACTGCGCGAGGCGCAATGTAAAACCAATAACAAATGGATTTTTCGCTAAACAACAACCATTTGTTGCATTTATTAAAAAACAAAAACTGTTGCAAAAACATTTCATTGCGCTTGGCGCATGGATTTTTGGACAGCGCTGGCAGGCGGTGGTGTCTTTGTGGTGCGCTCCATAAAGACATACAATTAGTTAGTATATTTGGCTAAGGCAACCAGCATTTGGTTGTGCTCTATGTTTTTAATTCTTACAGAACTCACAATTTTATAACTTTTTCTCTCCCTTCTGCTACTGAATGTGCGGCGGCACGCCCATTTTAAATATGTAAGGTTGTTGTTATAATGCCCTTCAAGAGCACGTTCATCAAGTAGACATAATTTTCTAAAAATATAAATATCTGAAATATATACATATAAAGTAATTAAGAATTAACAATACCAACAAGATTTTATTTACAGTTTCTTTTTGAATGGTTGAGGGCGCATGTGCTTCTCGTATTTTTATATTCCCAAAACAAATGTTTTTCTAATTTTGGCATCACATTTGGACTCGCTGCCAGTCCAGTTGCTATCAGTTTAGGCATAAGCGTAGGGCTCCTCTGGGTGTCAGGAGAACGCACATAAATGACCACATTTTGGACATTTAGAGTGCTTTGCAAAGTATTGCTGCAAATGCTCGATATGGCCGCCATGGGAGCAGCCCTGACACCACGCATAGACGCCACGCACAATCAGACCACAAACACAGCACTTGGCTGACTGCATGGACTTGCATTTGTCACAGTACCAGCCCACATTGCCGCCCAACGGTCGACCACATTCACCGCAATTGGTGTGCATAACCGTCGAGTGTTGATTTAATTGGCGCACAGAGCGCACCCAGGCACGATTGATCACCTCACAGGCCTCATTCCACAGCTCATAACGATGCAGCTGATCCACATAGGTATGAAACCAGTGTTCCTATTGCGAAAGAATCAAACGTGAATTATTATTCCGAATTCGGATGCCTTATAAAGACACATACCACCACGGCATCCTCAATGGGCAGCATCTGGCGCGCCTCGCCCATAACAATGAGTATAGTCAAAGCGGTTTGCACATCGCCCACATCATTCTGCAGCATTAGCGCATCTGCCACAAATTGATGTGGCTCCCACATGGGTATGGGCGGCACATGACTGACCTTCAATATACTGGGCACATGAGGTGGCTAAAAAATGTGTTGAAAATATATATTTTATAAGTTAATATTTCTATGTAACAAATCGTCCGACTCACTGGCGACTTTTCATGTTCCGTTGCCTTCAGATCTAGCTGTGGTCGGGCCGCTTGCACATCATGATGCAGCGCCGTATCCGGAAATGCCACCGCTTTTGTTACGTCCGCGGGTCCCACATAAATGAACCCGTTGCGCAATAGCTCAAAGTTATCAAACGTAATCTCGCTAATGATTTGCGTCTCGGAGAGTATCACCGAACTAGTTGGCGGTGGATGTTGTTTTCCACCGCCGCCAAGCTCATCGCCATCCTCACTAGCCTCGGCTGCTTCATGCTGAGTCTCTTGACTATTCCCATTCAGTTCCTGACCCTGCTCGTGTGGCTGGCTCCAATCGCTAGCTACTTGTGTGGCACGACGCGAGCTCATGGGATTTTTTTGGTTGGAGAACGAGGAGCGATGCTCGAAGGGCGGCTCAAAGTGTGTAGTGCCGTAGAAAAGCTTGATGAAGTTCCACAGGGTGGTGGCCTGATGAAAAAAATGTGCATTAATATAAAAGTAGCTATTTTATACCCTTGCGGAGGTATTATATAATTCAATTATCTCTAAATTAAGAATTGTAGCAAAGAGTTTTTAATGTTCGGCACTCTTATTACATTATGTTTTCCGTATTTCCTGGAGACATCCGCATTGTGTTCGCACAGTTCGGCCAACTTCTTGCCGCTGAGCTGCAACTCCCGAGCGCAGCCAATGAAGACCTCGTGCACGCGCAGCTCCGTGGTAGTGTCGTGCGCGGGAAATTCAGTGCCTGAGGCCATGTTCTGTGAATTTTTAAGATGAAGCTATAAATGTTTAATTATTTATTTTATTTCGGACTACCGTATTCTTGAGCATAAACATGTACATCTTGGAATGGTCCAAATGAAATTGCATATTGCCAGGAACATTCGATTTGCGGCGACTTCTACGGGATTAGATTCATGAGCAGGCTATTGAAACTACAGATAACTTGATGACTTACATAAAGTTGGTGCTTTTAGTATTGGATACACCACTTGTCTTTGCCGTATATTCCTTAATTTTGTTGGCAAAGGATATATCTCCATGCCTGCCCAAGCTGGCACCCTGCGCATTCGCTTTCAGGGCCGGCCGCGTGGCATCCTTAAATGCATGCTTATAAAGCCTGGAATCCTTACTAGTGGAAAGCAAACAATGTGAATCGCTTCCCTGCCACGCAATGTCTGTGGTGACGTTCGTATGCTCATTGAAGGAGGCAAAGGGTATAAAGGGGCGACGTATATCCCACACATGCACGCTATAGTCTACGACCAGGGCACAGCTAGCTATGTGATAACTGCCGATAAGGATGAGAGTGGATTTGTCCCTTCAAAATAAATATATAAAATTCTTAATATCAATGACTTACGTGCGCTCTGGTCGCCATTTGACGCGACCAACAACAGCTATCGTATGAATGGTGTACTCTAAGCTGGCTCGTCCATCCATGTTCCACACCTTTATCTGCTTATCCCGGCTGCCAGTGGCCAACCAATTGCGTGTGGGATGCCAATCGCAGGTATAGATGGGTCCGCTGTGTGCCGTGAACTGTACCATGCATTTGTCCCACTTGCGCATATCCCAGAGCTGAACGGTGCCATTCTCCGACACGGCGGAAAACACACTTGGCGAGTGAGGTGAGAACTTGAGATCGCGCACAGATTCCGAGTTGCTAAAGTATGTGTTCACAGATGTATCGGAGCGTATGTCAAAGCACTTGATGGTGCCATCCTGTGAGCCGGAGATCAGTATATTTGGCTCCGTACTGTGAAATGTAACTGTGTGAGCAGTGCGCTCGTGCTCATGGTAGACCAGCAACTGCTTTTGTCGGCCAAACTTGGACAGATCCCAAACAGACACAACGCCATTTGTGGCAGCCGTGGCCAGTATATTGCTATCCAATGTACTCCACGCAACATCATTAGAAGAATAGCTCAGATTTTGGTTCTTACCACGCATATTGCACACCTCCGTGAAGCCATCGCTCTCTATCTCATAGACCTTAAGCACTGGAAGGAAATATTTGGATCATTTCGCATCTCAAGAGTGTGAGAGCTCTGCTTACAGCTACGCCCGGCAACTGCAATCTGATTATGATCCTTGTTTAAGGCCAGGGCATTGGCATGCCCCTCCGAGCAGATACGTAGCGATACTGTGGAAGGATCTGCATCCTCTGACGTATCCGGCATTGTGCTATAATTTAAAATCGTTTATGAAACGCGAACTCTATTTTGGCCTCTATCGCAAACAATAACATTGAAATTAACATTAGTATAAGCATAGCTGCACTGTTATTAACAGAGCTAATAACATAACTTTGCAATAAAGTAGCTTTTATAATTCGGCAAAGCCCATATTAAATATGCTGCTTACATTAAAAATTAAAAATAATTCAAATACCTATTACCTTATATTATACTATACTATTATTGTTATGAGACTTTAAACAAATCAGCTTATCACTTAGCTCCTCATCGAACGAATGCTCCACCGATGTATTTAAAATCTTCAGCAACAATGGCAACTCTGTGTTATCATCAATCGACAAAAACAGATGGCTGCTGGCTTTGACGAAATTATTGTTCCATTAACATTTTTAAAACACACACATATCAAATGCCGGATATTAAAATAACACCACTGGGAGCCGGTCAGGATGTGGGCCGCAGCTGTCTGTTACTGTCGATGGGTGGGAAAAACATAATGCTCGACTGTGGCATGCACATGGGCTACAACGATGAAAGACGCTTTCCGGATTTCTCGTACATTGTGCCGGAAGGACCCATTACGAGCCACATTGATTGTGTCATCATATCGCACTTTCATCTGGGTGAGTATCAAATAATAACCGTCAAATACCTAATGGCCTTCTGATTACCGCCATATATGTGTAGATCACTGCGGCGCTCTGCCGTATATGTCGGAGATAGTGGGCTATACGGGGCCCATATACATGACTCATCCGACCAAGGCTATAGCACCCATTCTGCTCGAGGATATGCGAAAGGTGGCCGTTGAACGGAAAGGCGAGTCAAATTTCTTTACCACACAAATGATCAAGGATTGCATGAAGAAGGTTATACCAGTAACACTGCACCAGAGCATGATGGTGGACACAGATCTAGAGATCAAGGCCTACTATGCGGGCCATGTACTGGGCGCTGCAATGTTTTGGATCAAGGTTGGCTCACAGAGTGTTGTATACACCGGTGATTATAATATGACACCGGATCGGCATTTAGGAGCGGCCTGGATTGACAAATGCCGGCCAGATTTGCTCATAACAGAGAGCACGTACGCGACAACAATACGAGATTCGAAGCGCTGCAGAGAACGAGATTTCCTAAAGAAAGTCCACGAATGTGTTTCAAAAGGTGGAAAAGTTCTGATACCCGTATTTGCACTGGGGCGAGCGCAGGAGCTTTGCATATTGTTGGAAACATATTGGGAACGCATGAACCTCAAGTATCCGATATACTTTGCACTGGGTCTGACCGAAAAGGCGAACACCTACTATAAAATGTTTATAACCTGGACAAATCAGAAAATCCGCAAGACGTTCGTGCATCGCAACATGTTCGATTTTAAACACATAAAACCATTCGATAAGGCTTATATAGACAATCCAGGTGCGATGGTTGTATTTGCCACACCTGGCATGCTGCACGCCGGACTCTCGCTGCAAATCTTCAAGAAATGGGCGCCCAACGAGAACAATATGGTAATAATGCCCGGCTATTGTGTCCAGGGCACGGTGGGTAACAAAATTCTGGGTGGTGCCAAAAAAGTCGAATTCGAGAACCGTCAGGTCGTCGAGGTCAAAATGGCCGTTGAGTACATGAGCTTTTCAGCGCATGCCGATGCCAAGGGTAATAAATTACATAAGTTGCCCAAAAGTCATAATTCAAAAACTTATATTCATTTCAGGCATTATGCAGCTCATCCAGAACTGTGAGCCAAAGCACGTAATGCTTGTGCACGGCGAGGCGGAGAAAATGAAATTCCTGCGCGCCAAAATACGAGATGAGTTCAATTTGGAAACATACATGCCAGCCAATGGTGAAACCTGTGTGATTTCCACTCCCGTCAAAATACCCGTAGATGCCTCCATTTCATTACTGAAAGCTGAGGCTCGTTCCTATAATGCCCAGCCGCCAGATCCAAAGCGCCGACGTCTCATACATGGCGTCCTCGTGATGAAGGACAATCGCATTATGCTCCAAAATCTGACGGATGCACTCAAAGAGATTGGCATCAATCGGCATGTCATGCGTTTCACGTCAAAGGTAAAAATGGATGATCCGGGGCCAAAGTTGCGAACCAGCGAAAAGCTCAAAGCGCTGTTGGAAGAGAAGCTGACCGGTTGGACGGTGACAATGCAGGAGAGCGGCATCATAACCGTTGAGAGCGTAGAAATCAATGTGGAAGAGGACGAAAAGGATCCCAAACAAAAGACTATACTGATCACCTGGACTAACCAAGATGAAGATATTGGCGCCTATATACTAAATGTGCTGCAGAATATGTGTTAGCGCCACAAAGAATAATTCAGGAAAGCAACAGCGGCCAGTTTCGACATGGCCTTAACGTGTCCGGCACGATTCCATAGATGTTAAGTAAAAAGTTTTGATTGTAATTCTGGTTTTTTGAAGACATACTAAAATACATTTCTCAACTATTTTCCAAACAATAATCAAGCGCAGTGGTCGGTGCCTGATTTCCGAAAGATAATCGAATTCTGTTTGCCATATTTTGGGTCTAATATCGAAATGGACCACTCGCGGTATGGAAAGTTAAATGTATTCGTTCCACGCTATTTATTTCGGTTTTATCTCAGATAATTATGTTTTAAATCATTTAATACGCAGCTTCTGGCGTCTTCGAATCGTAATCTTTTATAATTAGGCTTGGATGAAATCGTTGAGGCTAAAGCTGCGACTCGAACTGGAGTGTGTGTGTTCGAGGACACTGCTTATGAAAGCGCAGCGGCACCGGAGATGATTTCAATCAGCTCGCGTGTGATGACAGCCTGTCGGGTGCGGTTGAATGTGAGAGTCAGTTTCTCAATCATCTCACCAGCGTTCTTCGAGGCGTTGTCCATGGCAGTCATACGGGACGATTGCTCAGAGCAAGCGCCCTCCTTCATGGTGTAGAAGATGAGCGAGGCTAGTGAGAACTCAAGATAGCTCTTGATGACATCGCTATCAAGCGAATCGTAAACGGCCAGCTTCTCCGACTTCTCCACAGTGGCGCCACTGTAGATGGGCAATGAGGTGCACTGGTAAGAGACCACAGACTTGAATCTGTTGTACACAATCTTGCCCTCGGTGTACTCGTAGCCAGTCGACAAAACTTCATGCGCAATCTTGGAGGCATCCAGGAAGGTGGGTGGCAGACGGCCCACTTCGTTGGCCACCATTATGATGTTCTTGCCATACAGACGAGACAGAATGGCACGCGACTTGTCGCCAACGCAGAACACCATGGTGTTCGAACTCTCCTTTTGCAGTTCACCACGGATTGTACGCGCAACACCGGTGTGCACGGCACCGCAGAGACCACGATCCGATGTCACGGCAATCAGGAGCTTCTTGGGCTCAGCGGCGGCATCAGCCTGGATTTCGGTTTTCTCAAAGAATTGTTGAGCACCAACACCGTAGGGACGCGCTGCCTTTAAATCACGCTCGGCACGGGAGTATTTGGCCGCGGACACCATCTTCATTGATTGCGTAATTTTTTGGATGTTCTTCACGGATTTGAGGCGCATCGAAATATGCTTCAATGTGGCCATGCCACGTTGCTGCTGGGCCACAATGGTGGCTTCAACAGCCAATGGCAGCAAAAGCGCAGTACGTTGCATCATCATCCTGTGAGCTGTTGAAGTTCCTGCACAAGAAATTAGCACAAAATATGTATGAACGTACAGCGAAAATTCACCTGCGTGAAGTTGGCAGCGAGACGAATGTTATAACACAGGGCAGTGTTGCCAGATTAGACAACTGTCAAGTGGGCACTGTGAATGTTAGAAATCGCTGGGAATGGCAAGCGGCTAGTACTTGAATTAATTAATCAAAATTTCAAACACACCGTTCTTTCTTGTAGTTATAATTATATTTTCTTTAAGTTTATGAATATATATTTGTTTTAATCGGTACATGGAAATTAATTGGTCAATCGATTGCATATATGAAGTCAGCTGCTTAACTATTCGATTGTGCACCCCTAGTTCGCGTGTCATCACTAAAGCAACCAAAAGCAAGAGGAAGCAAAAAGCTGACGTACTCGGGAAAAGTTTAGAATTAATTAAGCAATATAATACTTATTAGGCAAAACGCTGTAGTTTATAATGTAACATAGTGCAACAACAAACGCGTTAGTCTTTAATCTTGCATTAAGCCCAATAACCAAACGATTGTAAAAAAGTATGTTGGAAAATTGTTGCTGCTGTGCATAGGAAACCGAACAACAGAAAGTAGAAGAGCAAGTGTGTTGACCAGCCAAATTGTTGATGAAATTCATATATATGTAGATAATACTTAAGTCTTAATATACGACACCCTAACAGCTGGCACACAACAAAAGGAATACAATAAATGCAAACGGCTGAAAAGTACGTAGCAGGCAGTGGTAGTGGTGGTGTTTGTGGTGGTGTACACGCATTAACGTTAACATCTCTCTATCTCTCTTGGCAGCGCCTCTCTTCTACTGCCTTAAACAATAGTCAACACAGCAACACAGACAGCAACAGCTGTGTGTGTGCGCGCGTGTGTGTACGTGCGTGTGCGGGTGTGTGTGTGTGTGTTGTCGCATTTTGTGTGTGTCCGGACGTAACAAAATATTGAGCCGTCGAGCAAAACACATGATGTGGTCGTTCTTTTCGCGCGACTCCTCCAAAGACTTTCCATATGACATTGGCGAACCCGTTGCTGGCTTTGACAATTATTCCATATGGACACTGCACAAGGCCAAGCGCAAGGGCACCCTCGAGGAGGTCTCTGTCTTTGTCTATGACATACGTAGCGGCTCCGATACGAAATGTGAGCTGGCCAAGGCGGCGCTGAAACGCCTCAAAACGTTGCGTCATCCGAGCATACTACAATATCTGGACTCACTGGAAACGGATAAAATGCTTTATGTGGCCACGGAGGCGGTGGATCCGCTGGGCACATATTTCACCAAGCTAGCCACAGACAATGTACAGAAAGGCCTCTATCTAGCCTGGGGCATATTTCAAATCACGGCAAGCCAATTAAAGTCCCTATTATTATAAGCATATATAATTCATTTCTTTATTACAGCGTGCTCTCTCCTTTCTCAATAACGATGGTAATTTGCGGCACAACAATGTTTCCGCTTGGTCGGTCTTTGTCAATGCCTCCGGCGAATGGAAGTTAGGCAGCCTGGAGTATGTCGCTGCCGCTGATGGTAATCCCTTGCCGCCTGTGAAAATACCCGTGACGCTGGAGGTATACGATGCGCCGGAGAAGAATGATCAGAGCAAGCTCAAGGCAGCCACCAAGTGGTATACACTGCATACACTTTACACATCCCTTCATAACCCATAATTTCTCTTTCCTCAGTTCCGTGGACATGTGGGGCCTCGGTTGTCTCGTTTGGGAAGCCTTTAACGGAGTGTTAAAGCAGCGCTCCAATCTCAAGGATATTGAACACATACCCAAATCGTTGCAATCGCTTTATTGTGAGCTGGTTGGCGCATCGCCTTCGAATCGACCCAATCCGGCGGATATTATTACGCGTTGTCGTAAACCAGGCGGCTTCTTTAAGAATGATTTGGTGGACACGCTGCTCTTTCTCGAAGAAATCCAGATTAAAGACAAGGCGGAAAAGAACCGTTTCTTTAGCGGCCTGACCACGCATCTGGAGAACTTTCCGGATAATGTTTGTAAACACAAAATACTTCCACAGCTGATAACCGCTTACGAATATGGAGATGCTGGCTCTGCGGTGTTGGCGCCCATGTTTAAGGTGCATTATCGTATATAAAACTTTGTTTAAGCCCAAACTAACATTTACTTTTAAACTTAGCTGGGCAAACTGTTGGATGAGCAGGAGTATCAGAAGCGCATTGTGCCCTGCGTGGTAAAGCTCTTTGCTTCGACGGATCGCGTGACCCGTTCACGTCTGTTGCAGCAATTGGATTTATTTATTGCACACCTGCAGCCACCGGTGGTCAATGATCAGATATTTCCACAAGTGGCGCATGGCTTCCTGGACACAAATGCCACAATACGCGAGCAGACGGTCAAGTCCATTATTCATTTGGCGCCCAAGCTGAACTACAACAATCTCAATGTAGAGGTGCTGCGACATTTTGCGCGTTTACAGGCGCGCGATGATCAGGGCGGCATACGCACCAATACAACAGTATGCTTGGGCAAGATTGCGCCACATCTGCATCCGCAGGTGCGTCAGCGTGTCCTTGTCTCGGCCTTTATACGTGCCATGCGTGATCCGTTTCCGCCGGCTCGTGTTGCTGGCGTACTCGCGCTCGCAGCCACACAGCAATATTTTTTGCTTAGTGAGGTGGCCAATCGTGTCTTACCATCCTTGTGTTCGCTGACTGTTGATCCAGAAAAAACAGTGCGCGATCCGGCCTTTAAAACAATACGCGGTTTTCTGGGAAAGCTGGAGAAGGTGTCCGAAGATCCCAGTCTGCGCGAGACAATGGGTAGGCTGGGAATGCGTAATAAATTGAAATGAAAATCTATAGTTTTCCATTACAGAAGCGGATGTTCATACCGCCACGCCTTCGATCGGTAATGCGGCTGCCACCTGGGCGGGCTGGGCAGTCACAGCCGTTACAGCCAAGTTCTATCGCAGTCAAAGCGATTCATCCAGACCCAGACCGCCTTTGACAGGTCGCAATCTATCAAAGCCAGCTTCGTTGGGTAAGTTTTAAGTTATATAGAAGCGGAAAAAATGTTATGTATTAATTTCTTACAGAGCAACCCTCGAGCAGCAGCCTGTCGACCACTACCAGTAGCGTTACCTCTATGACCTCCTTGGAGCATGAAAGTAACGATACGTCCGCCTCTGCCTCCGACTATGGCAACAACGATTGGGACAATGAAAACTGGGGTGAAATGGATGTAAGCTTGATATTCAAATACAAAACAGTAGTTGTATTATGTATATATTGTAGACCTCCCAGGATCCCAGCAGTCCGCTGGCAGCCAGCTCCAACAATGGTCAAATAGTGGCTGCCAATGCCCTGAGCGAAGTTCGCGACGGCTGGGACAATGAGGAATGGGGCAGTCTGGAAGAGGATCCGGTAAGCCAAAAAAAAAAAAAAAACACCGATCAGTCAGAGATAAACTCATTTTAACACGCCCTGCATAGTGCGAGGAAGAGGAGCAAGCGGAGCAGGAGCAACAGCAGCAACAGCTGGCTAGACAATCGATATCCTCAACGACATCGTCCAGCCAGCAACAGCAGCGACCTCTGCTGCCGCATCAGCACCAACAGCAACTGCAGCAGCATGAGCTGAATGATCTTATCGAGCCGCTGGCTAAACTGAATTCACACATCACCTTATCGCCATCGCGACAACAGCTGCGACCAAAGGAGCTGGCTAATCTATCGAGCAGCGCCAACACCTCACCGACAACGCCGGGCGCTTTCACCAATTGCAATAACATAAGTTCGCCAACGTCACATTTGAATAATTCGACG